CAAGAAGAACGTAAAAAAAATTGATATCAGTACAAAAATGTATCAATCTATTTCCTCAATATATATACATTTAAAAGTGATCTATTTAATTTTTTACGTCAAGCATCATTGAATATACGAAATAATAACCATAATTTATTGCAAATACTTAATTAGCTTTATTATTATGACACATTTTCAAAATTGCATAACATGGAGTTTAGGGGTCTTCAATTTCTTAAATATATATGAAGTTAAAATGGTCATTTTCACGTAAATCGGCAAAACCTTCGTTTATAAAACAGAAACGAACAAATCTGACTATGACTGCACAAACTATTAAAAAATGTTTCAATTTTGGTGTTCATTTCTAGTTACCCAGGGTATTTCAGCTGTATCTCAGTTAAAGGTAATAATTTATATTAGAAAAAAATTGTTACTACTCCCTATGTTACTATTTCTCGGTGTCAAACAAATGTAATTATCGGTCTAGTTCCAACTAAATTTTATTTAAAACTTATTTATAATTCTCATTCGTCATTCCGCTTATAAATAGTTTTCGATAAATCCTACCTATAGACAAAAAAGGAGCACAACTGTGGACTAACATCTGAATTATTGAGTGCTGAATACTGACGTAAATCAGATTCAACTAAATTGGCACTTAGATATTAAGTCTGTAATAGAGATAATAATACCATTTTTGCACTATCGTACAAATTCCATTCAACAAAAATAAAAAACTAATAAGCGTAGAAGTAAAGCCCTTTTATCCTACACCTTCAGATAATATGTTCTTTGTAAATCTTATTGTACAAGTATGAATTAAAGTATTTTTACGTCGGGACTCGGGAGTTAAGTAATAAAAAAAAGATCCAGCTGCAAAAATAACTATTGACCTACCTCTGTACTTTTCACCTTTAGACAAATTTTAAATCATACTTAAATATAAGCAGATTCATTTCTCCGTTCCAATATGGTTTTATGAACCAGAGATCTACAATCACAAGTTGGACATAACGCAGTTTGTTTCGAAAACTCTCAATGATAGAGGATAAGGTGATGTGATCTATACGGATTTTGTCAAGACATTTGACCACATAGGCCATTTTCTATGAAAACAATTGTCAAATTTTGGTTTTTCGCAATTTATATCCAGCTTATTAAAATCATACCAGATCAATTTGTAACATTTCTTAAGATACCGAAATTTCATGTCCGAATCCTTTATTCTAACGCCGGAGCTTCCGCAAGATTCAAATTTATCCCCGCCTTTGTTTCGATCACAGATTGTGAAAGTTTACAGAAAGATATCTGATCTTTAGTTAAATGGTGTAAAAACTTATTTTGTCGCATATGGTACTTAGACATTTGGCTGTAATTTTTGAATATTCTTCTAAGTAATATTATTAATCAAATACTTCATATTCTGTATAAAACATGCATCTTTTGACTCGACGCCTATGTATATAGGTGTTTATTTCACCTGAAAAACGGACGATAACAACTTGACTCAATGCAATACAGTCAGCCAACTAATTGATCGATACTGTACCACTCTGTTCATGTGCACACATGTTCTGATCCGCACAGTCCTTAAACCTATGACGCCTTTCTTTAGTAGTCATTATCACTAATCACAACTGAAATTAAGGTACCTAACACAAAATTGCGTTTAAATATATTGCACATAAAATGAGATTTTCCCTTTGAAACTAAGAGCAATGGTGTTCTTCAAAAAATGGCGCACTAACTCTTTGACGTGTTGTGAAGGAATGAGAAAAATAATTTAAATATTGCTGGAGCCCAAATGTAGAAGCATAACCCTTCAAAGTTTAATTTTGCTTTTCGATATTTCACCATATTTTTAATTCACTACTTCTTTCATTACTTAAAATATCTTGTGTTTATCCATCATTTGTTCATTTTATGATATCACCAAAAAATGAATATTTAAAATTGTTCACAAAAACAACGCAACACAAACTTTTTTGTCATCTCTCTATCTAAATCCATATTTTGTTTTTTGTTAACGAATTTTTTAAAGATTTTTCTCGAACTTCGACTTGTGAACTTCTAATCTTCTAAAAGTGTATGAATCATTTCAACTAAATGCATCTGTTATTAATTATATGTTATATTTTTTTCTGTTGTAATTATCTCCATAAATTACCTACCGAAATGTGATATTTGCAGTATTTCGACACCGTAACTTCCCGAATCAATAAAAATTTAACCTCGATTAATTATTTGTGCTAGGTGTACACCTCCAGTTGTTTTAATTTCCCTGGCGAAGACTATATAACAAAATTTACCTAATTACCATTAAACTGATATACCTAAGTTATTCCATTTTTAATGCCAATTCCAAAAATTACGTACAGAACTACAGACAATGTAAAATATGTACTTGATATGTTTCAGTGTATTCTTTTGGAGTATCGAGTCATCAAAATGGATTGATAAAGTTGGTACTGTCTGTTTTTGCCGTCAAGTTTGTCAACCTTGTGACAGATTTGTCTAAAGTTATGTCCCAATTAGTCCAATTAAAAATTAAGAGAATTTCTTCAACAATTTGTACCCACTTTTGAATTTAGGTGGTTCTGGTCTACATACAGGCGCATGTTATGTAACGCAATCAAATGTGGGGAAATGACATCTAAAATTTGAATTTTCAAATCTGGCAACTAATACTTTTTGCCAAACAAAAAATTTAAAAAAAGGCGCGACTGCATTTTGAAGTTTGAAATCTGAAACTTCAAATCTAGCAACTAATATTGAAACCAAAACCAAATTATCTAGTTCGGGTTTACCAACTTTCTCAATCAATTTTGATGACCTTTGTACCGAGAAAGCAATAAAAAACACGATCAAAGAGAAAGTCTTCAAAAATTCATGGCTATCTTTGATCGTGTTTTTTATTGATCTCTCAGTATATTAAATTAGGGCAGGTTCATATTCAGTTCAAGGTGTTTGAAAATCAAAATGGCGTTTTAATTTTCATTATAAATTTCAGGATAAATGTCTAAAGATAAATTAATTAAGAAAAATTAAATTTAAAAATATAAAAATGGTATTACCAGCTACTTACATATAGCGCGTTTTATTAGATTAAATGTATAACTCGAATCAGTTCAATTTCATAAAGTATGGCTCCAACCAGATTTTCAAAAGTTAACATCAGAAAAAAAACAATATTATTGTGTGAATACAGTATGAATAACAGATTTTTACTTTCAATTTAAAAAAAAAATCATGAACTATAAATACAATTACCTATATAATGATCCATTTTCTTTAATGTTTATGGCAGCAATACAATTTTTATCAAGTCATATTCATCGGAGAATCGAAGGGGGCTACAGGAGTGTGGGAAGTGCAAAAATGTGCTATATTTTAACGATTTTGAAAACCAACTGTGGATGGATGTAAATTTGCTCTTTTTTATTTCCGAACGGAAGCTAGAATATGAAAGTGCAGGTGATTTATTGTCAGTTTTATTAGATAAATCGTCTTCGAAACTAGCATTGAGTGTTGTGAAATTTTAAGCATATTTTGCAAATATTGTGTAAATAGTAAAACGCTAATCAAAATACTACCCTTGTGATTTATGAATCCACCCCTGTTTTTAACTATACACAGAATTAATCGTTCATTCCCCAGATAAACTTGATGACGACATCAAATCTAACAATTTTGTAAAAATAAATCTAATTGAAATTTATAGTGTGACATGTTCATTTATTTCTGGTTTAATAGTACGTTCACATTTTTTTATGATACTTCGTTGGTTGTTCTTTAGTAATATATAGCCCATTATTTAGAATTATTTACACATGATGTCAATTAATGTTATTAATTAAATCAAAAATTGTTTACCTAATTTTCCCAAAATTCTGTATTTTGTGCTAGTTACATTATTATATGTTATCTAGTAAATATTATTTATCAGTCTAATCAATGAACCACATAATATTGTAAAAATAAGCAACAACAATGATGAAACTAGAGAATCTTTTTCGCAGATTAAAATCCTGTCATCCGATTCTAAGTAGAAAATTTGAACATAATTTCATCATTAACAGGCGTTTATGTTATTATTGTGTATTCGTATTTTTGAAATTCAGTGGGTTTTCTTGCACATTCTGCATGTGTGACAATCAAGATTTTATTTAGAAGTGCGAGTTTAAACTCAGACAATTCAGGTGAGTCCAGAGCTGAGTGAATGTTTTTGGACCACAAAAGGTTGGGACAGGAATGTTCCCTGTGCAGAAACTTGTTTGAGGCTTTTAAGCGAAAGTAATACAAAATGGACTACTAAAAGACAGCAACAAAGTATATAATTTTTTAAAACAAATACAATTTCGATTTAAAAACATTTTTTTTTACGATTTTTGTTGGGACTGCAACAGGTAATCAATTCGTTTTTTTCTGAGCCATTTCTAATGATTATTATGGCATGTTAAATCCTGTCCGTATTAGAAAACTTTTAGCGTATATTTGTTTTATTTTAATAAAGTAAGATTTGTAAGTTTTAATTTTTTACTGCTGTAAGTTCTAGTGTGTTAATGATGTGATGCGATTCAAAAAGTAAAATAAGTAGTTGTGGTCCAACAGTTCCACTTTTCTAGTATTTTGAAAGCAGCATTCTTGCTTAAAATTGTAAAATTTGACTCTGATCGCTCTCTTCGCGCGCTTTGTGACACTACCCAGTGCGTTGAGCAGAATCCTGTTAATAACATGTAGCTATTTACCAAATCTGTCGGCAGATGTCGCTAGCCGCGATAAAATTGTAAAATGAAAGTAGGATTCCTATCATAGTGCTACTGGAAGTCGATATATTAGGTTTCTTTTAACTCTTAACCTACTCTACTTTCAACATTTCATTCATTTTCAGTGTGAACAATTAAACCAGAAAACCTGAAAAACTAAAGGTATGTATCACATTTTTTGTGTCTGATGCGCTTTACTTTCGTTTTCATGACAACCTAACCTCAAAATTTGTATAGAGGGGATGACATCTGACCTTAAATTTTTGCCAATGACAGCATGAGTAGTGCGAGTTTGACAGTTTAAATAAGAATAGTTCTTGAAACGAATGCAAATTTGTTTCTTTTAAAGTAGAGTCAGTTTAAGTGTGTGATACGCAAAGTGCGGTCATCATGACATCGGCATCCGCAGTCCGAAGTGTACTTGTAAACACGTGGATCGTCTAAAGTAACAAATAAAAAAAACCGCAAGATGCATCTGACCCAGTGTTTGGACGAGGCAAATAGTCAATCTTTGCTATGGAAGCAGATTCTTTCAGCAGTGTTTTATGGCGTGGCTTCTTTCATGATTACTGTGATCAACAAAACGGTGCTCACGACTTATCAGTTTCCGTCGTTTCAAGTACTAGGTCTTGGACAAATGGTTGCCACAATTGTTGTGTTGTTTGTGGCTAAAAAGCTAAGGTTTGTGAATTTTCCAAGTTTCGAATTGAACACTTTCGGGAAGATATTTCCACTACCATTGATCTACATTGGAAATATGCTCTTCGGACTTGGAGGGACTAAAGAACTCAGTCTTCCTATGTTCACGGCGTTAAGAAGATTTTCAATTTTGATGACAATGATACTAGAATTGTATATTCTAGGTGTTAAACCAAGTTTTAGTGTACAGTTTAGTGTATACACTATGATAATAGGCGCCGTTGTTGCCGCCAGTAATGATATAGCCTTTAATTTACAAGGCTACATTTTTGTATTATTGAATGATCTCTTCACTGCCACAAATGGTGTTTATATGAAGAAGAAGTTAGATTCCAAAGAATTAGGAAAATATGGACTCATGTTCTACAATTCACTGTTTATGATCGTACCAGCAACTTTCTTCGCTTTCTACACAGGTGACTTAGACATGGCATATAATTACAAATATTGGGATGACATGATCTTCCTTGCTCAGTTCCTTCTATCGTGTGTTATGGGATTTGTGTTATCATACAGTGTTGTGTTGTGTACATTTTACAATTCAGCATTGACCACGACCATCATAGGGTGTTTGAAAAATATTTGTGTTACTTATTTAGGGATGGTCATAGGAGGTGATTATATCTTTTCATGGGTTAATTTTATTGGTATTAATATTAGTGTAATAGGAAGTTTAATTTACACTTATGTTACCTTTAAAAGAAAAGATTCCACCCCTGCTTATGTGCCACTTGCCACTGAGAAATCGTCTAAACTTGAGAATGTTGTATAGTACAAGATTTATTAGCTAATGTTAGAAGAATATTTTTTCAATTGCAGGGTTTATCTGGCTAGGTGGTCAAAGTTCAAAAATTTAATCCATGTAAGCGTTGAAATCTATTTTGATTTTGGCCACTTATGTAGACATAATTTTAGAGGATTAAGTCAGTGATTTTGTTTTATTGCAAATATTTATTTATTTGAGATTTCTAAAGAATTTGAAGACTAGTGCAATGCATTTGACTTTGTCAAATATTTATTATTTTCACGAACTTTTCGATAAATACTGTCAGCGCCATTAGCAAACTATTGATAGGAAAATTAGGAGTTTTTTGAGTGCCTGTCTGCATAATTTAAATAGTGGACATTAGTTAGTTTAACCGCCAAGATCTAAAATCTTCATAGTTCTATTTCACTAGTTAATTTTATGCATTATTTATTGCAGACTATACATGCATTAACACAGAAACTAGGTAAATAAATGATTATTATTTAATTTATTATTAATTACTTTATATATTTTTTTTTCTGCTCAATATACATGAAATTATACTCATCTGTTTATATAGTGCCATTTACATTAAGTACTGATTAGTCAAAAGAACTTAAATATTTTCGTTAATCTAGGCGTCGACTTTAACACGTATGTGTTACTATCAAATTAATTTGTGCATTTTTACGTATATATTTTATTGCTTTCTGTCTCAGATTCGAGTTTAACATTCAAATAGAATTTTGACATTTGTTGCATAATGTTTGTCATTTTTTATGTCATACAATGAAGGCTGGCAACTCACATGTTTTATTTTGTGCTGTTATACAAAGTAAAAACGGACTTAAGGAATAGATTCGATAACACTAAAATTCAACCAAAATTCATCAAGAAGAAGGAGTTTACTAAGTTGGACTTGCTGTCACTTTGTTTGTGACACGTGACTATTGTAATATACACTTTTCACAAATGTGACAACGAATTACATGAAATTTCCGGTTAGCGTATTAATGTTTATGGTTAACTAATGACTGACTAACTGAATTTTATGTCCCTGTGAAGATAATAATCTATCGTGTGCAATAAATGTGGTTTCGTATGATTTTCTGATAATAAAGATTAGAAACGTGCATTTTCACTTCAGATGATTACAAAAGTTGCATTTTGTAGACCAGTGTAATCGACGATATTTTACAAAGATGTCGGAATTATTTCCTATTTATTCTTTAATGGCGGTGCTTGTTTATAACCTCAAAAAGAACAAATTGTAATTATTTAATTTAATTAATTTAATAATCCTTCGGGCATGTGCAATTGTATACAAATAATTTCTCATCAATTTAGCATTGTAAACTTAAAATTACACGAATTTGCCGCTCATTCTGACAGTAACATGTTATCATAAACCACCATATGTAACGTCAGTTTGACAGTTTCATTAAATCCCTGTTTCAATAAGGCAGCTTTGTATATACTGTGTATTTTTTTAAATAACTGTCAGAAAAACTTTCATTGTTTTCCCAGTGGTTCAGTGCACCCTATATTTCTATGAACACAAGGAATGTTTCCTTCTAATCTTACATTTATGAATAAATTCCAGAAACGTTAGGAGCTTGATTTAAAAATAACTACTCTTATTTTCTCGCAGTCTAAAGTATTTAGTTAGTCTATGTAAAGATGTAGATGTCTGGTTAAATATTATAGATAAGACAAAAAAGTGTAATATAGCAGCTAAAATCATTGCAATCAGCTGTAATCAAAGAAACATTCATTTTGGTTCACTAAAGTATTATTTTTTTCACTAGCTATGTATCTTTCAATTAAAGGGTAGAGGATTTTTCAAAAAAAACCATCATTAACTATTATAAATTTTTATATAATAAGATTCTTAATGGTCAAAAAATTATACTACATTTTTACATTTTGAAAGATACTCCTTTTTTTACCCGTATACCACAATAGATTGCTGATCTTAGAAAAAGTAGTGATAGAAATTATACGGAAGAGAATTATACTGAAAGAGAAACATAATAAGTAACCTTTGATTTATCTGTTTTTGAAAGTAATATTGAATTTTGTAAGAAACGAAAACTGGGATGCAGCTGATTATTTACGTGCAGATATTCTTGAACATCTGTGACCTCTTTCCCCTTCACGTCAATGTCGGTGATTGTTTTGAGATGCATACTGTGTGGATATTTTTGTTTATAATTTTCTTGCCATGTTCTCTCGGAATCTGAAAATGGTCAAATGACACTCCACTGTTCGAATGTCATTTTTCTAAAAATCAAACCTCGAATTGTTCTGTTTAATTTTTTGGTGAAATTTACAAACTCGCAACTTTTAATTTAAATTAAACAAACGACTAAATCTTGACAAAGGTCATGCGTTTCGCTAACAAGGTTCGCGTCATCAAGATAACTGCGTCGAGATCATTTAATGTTGTGAATATGTAAAGGAATATTTAATGATGTATCCATTAGTTTTAATCTGAGCTAAGTGTGAGTTGCTAGTCTCCATTCTAGAAGTAAACATGTTTGTTACACAAGACTTGATTATTTTCATTATTACTACCAAAGTGTGTGGTCACCGGAATAAGCTGTACCAAAATTGTATATACCAAATCATTATAATAATAATACTTTATTCCCAACAGGTAATAATACCTGTTGGGAATAAATGTCTTTACAATATCAATAATCCTGTGATTTTAATGTTGATAATAAATAGATATAATTTTTTTGTTTGTTTTTTTGTTAACACTGAAATTGGTTCTAATTCTTTCACGTACAGTTATGTTTTGTTATTTCACTCCACTCCTCTTGTAAAGAAAACAAAAATAACGCACAAATGTACTGACAAATGCGTTACTAACTAATTAAGGGCCGGTTGCATAAACGCAAATCAAATTTAATCTCTGATTAAGAACAATTGTAACTATGATAATAACAATCGTAACTGTGGAGGTAATCAGAGATTAAATTTGATTTGCGTTTATGCAACCGGCCCTAAAAGTGTTAAATATACTTATAAGCATTTTTTTTATTTTAAATACATACTAAAATAGTTATTTCAGTTTTCTTGAAATTTTTTGACATTGTAAATATTCACAAAATGTAGTAAGAGTTCATTTTAACGTATACGTGGCTAATTTATATATCCTATACAGAATTATAATTTTTGTTGCGGTATGAAAAAAATGATCCTCGGTATTTAATAGTATACACAGAAATTCTGAAATATAATCTTCAAATAACTAGACTCAGTTTTTCAATTAAAAAAAAACTGACTGCAATTTGGTAAGTTATATAAAAATTAAAAAATTCGTGTTACGCTACAAATGATTTTATTTTACGCCACTCCAAGAGCGTACGACTTTGGTTTTTGCTTTTTATTTCTAGTTTTATTAATTAATGAGATATCGAGGAGCGCGCTTATTGAGAAGCCAAGTTCACGTTTTTTTCTCCAAAGGAATTTTCTGCTAATTTAAAATTAATAAAATAAAACACAAAACTAGTTTTTAAAATCAGATTCACGACTTTGCAAATTATTTGCTATAAATGGTGTAATCAAAAGCAATAAATTTTGTGTGAAATCTTTACAAGCCAACACATTAACATAGTCCATTCAGAAAAATACTCATTCGTACAATTTAAACACGCAGAGTCTGTGTACGATCTAACAACATGAGCTATTTCCGACCCTCATTTTTTTTCTTTCTCTGCATGTCTTAAAAGTTACAATTTAGCCTTTTACCTAATTCTGATTTACATTATTAGTAAAATTTTATTTGACAATGCATAATACAGTTGGTGATATATACAGAGTGTACCATATTTATGTGCTGATTTTTTTATTAGCATATAATCTGAGCAAACATAATCAAAAATAACTATGTTCTATTTTACTTGATAAAAGAATTATCGTACTTCAAATGATGTGTTGAGGCCAGTTTTTTATTACATTATTACTAATTGTACAAAGTCCACATAAAGAGAAGACTGCCACTTTCGAAAAAAATGCCGAATTATTTCCAAAACGTAAAAAGAAAGCAAAATTAAGACAGTAGTTAGTTTACAAAAGTTGTCTACAGATTTACAAGTTCATATTTTTTACTAAACTCGATATATATCTTGTTTAAGGGTGCTTACACAGAACTTCCCTCACTCTTGAAGTTTGTTTTTTTATGATAAACCTTATAAAATAAAAAATATAGATAATATTAGTCACAGTGTAAAAAAATGCCACATAAAATAATCGCACCCACGACCTTCGCGTTACGAACAGGACACGCCAACCGATACGGCGCAGGCAATTGTAAGCGTTCCGCTTATTTTAATTAATACAAAAAGTTGTTATTCAATTTGGATTTGTTTTTGCGAAAATCTTGATGCCTGAGGCAAAAACTTAAGGTAGATTTATAAACCACAAGTAGAAGAATATACTGTTGTATAAAATTTCAGTAACAGTTATTATAGACAATTTAGAGGTGATGTCATCAATGTATTGGTCAGAATGATTAGAAAAATTGTGGTTAACGTTTTACCATCTGCACCATATTACTAACATTCATATAAAATTTAACAACAATCGGTGCAGTAGTTTCGGAGATATATGTCTAATTAAAATCCACACAGACAGGCAAATTGGAAAAAGAAGACTTATTTTTCGTACTCAGGGACCATAAAACGTCGACAAAACTTGAAAGTTACAAGTAACCATCAGTCGGATGGACCCTATTACAATACTTCCTTCGCTCCGGAAATAAAAATGTAATTCATCAAAATAAAAGGTGAATTAAAAACTGTAATTTGTGGTTTAAATTTTAAATTAAAGTTTGCTTTGTACTGCCATACAGCTAATTATTGTTACGAAATTAGACTGCAGCTTAAAGGGATAACAATTTTATTATACGAAGTGACATATGTTTGTTAAATTTAATTATAGACTGTTTTTGCTCATGGAATTATTTCTTTTTTTTTTTTAATATATAGAATTCTTTTTCAACAACAGGTTAGTTAAACATGTTTTCAGTTTCTTGTTGGGAAAAGAAGCCTTCGTATATTAAGAAAACATGAACAAAATATGAGCCCCGCCCACCCACCCTTTCTCAGTTGTGATGAATATTTTATTCGTCGTGAGCTGAAGGGCGAAGTTTAGTTGCAAATTCCTCATTTCTCTGCAAGAAATTACCGTATGAAATATGTTTTTAAAAGGGTAGAATTTTTTGGAGAAATATTGACGTTACAATTAAACTCCCCCCTTCGGTCTAATTAGGAATGAAAAGCTCATCACAATTGAGATCGGGGCGGTTGGGTGGGGCTTAATCTTTGTTCTTTGTATACATAGTTTTTTTTTTCGACAATTTTTTTACCGCAAAGAACAAAATATATTGTAATAAAAAACATAAAGTCAATCTATTATTCAATAATTTTGGACTTACTCCTAATGTAAGTCACGTAGAATATAAATTTTATAAGATTCATTTTGAGTAACAGAAAATAAAATTACTTTCAATTGTGGAGGCTGTTTTAATGGAACCCTCATTTGTTTTTTCATGTCGAAATTGATCTTTTCGTAGGCTCAATAAACATACTTTTTGAGCTTACGCTCAGGAAGTATTGTAATCGAGTCCGTCGGCCGATTTCTAATTTTAAGTTTTCTCGACCTTTCATGACCCCTAGAGTACGAAGAAATAGGTCACCCGTTTCCGTCTGTCTGTCTGTCTGCCGTCCCCACTAATAATGTGATGACGTCACTTCCAAATTATACATAGTAAGTGGATCTTAAATTGTATAAAATAACGTAGTCCTACACATGTATTTTATGAGCCCGTGTTGAGTTTTTACCCGAAACGTCCAGATTTTTGAAAAAAAATCAAAATTATAAAACAACATTTTGCAGTTTAATTTTGAATCTGCCAAACCAAATGCTTTGAAATTTTGCAGATGTTTTAAAGTTCTGAAAAGCATAATAAATTTTTAGTCAAAATATCTTATCTCCTCCAAAAAATTCATGACGTCAGCTGCAAATTTTGCCGTACAAGTTCAATCTAAAATGTGCAAAATATGATGAGTTTTTACGTGTGATTTATCATTCCAATATTTTTTGGATTTACTTATACAAAGTGGCTCAAAAAAATTAATGAATGCATGAATTTATTTAATTGATTTAATCAGGAACTGCAAAACCGAATGCTTTGAAGTCTTGGCGATTTTCTAAAGTTATCATAAGCAAGGTAAATTTTTCATCAAAATATTTTTACTCATCCCCCCTAAAAATTGATGACGTCACCTCAAAATATTGCTGCATAAATCCTATTTTAAATGTGCAAGATATGATAAATTTATACGTGTGATTTATCACTGCATTAATATTTTTTAGATTTGGTTATACAGGATGCCTCAAAAAAATTAATGACTGAGTCAATTTATTTTATTGATTAAATCACAAATTGCAAAACTGAATACTTTGAAATATTGCAGGCGTTTTAAAGTTGTTGTAGGCTGACTTACAACAGCATGGTAACCTTTTAATCAAAATGTATCTGTTTATCAACCCCAAAAAGTTGATGACGTCATCTCAAAATTTTACCGGACAAATCCTATCTAAAATGTGCAAAGTATGATCAGTCTAGACTTGTAATTTATCATTTCATGCATATTTTTTAGATTTGCTTATACAAGGTGACTCAAAAAAATAAAGAATCAGTCAATTTATTTTATTGAGTAAATCAAGAATTGCAAAACTGAATACTTTGAAATATTGCAGACGTTTTAAAATTATTATAAGCATGGTTAATTGTTAATCAAAATATATCTGTTTATTCCCCCCAAAAAATTGATGACGTCATCTCATAATTTTGTCGAATAAAATTAATGAAATCAGGAACGACTCACTCCATTTTCCCAGAAAATTTTAGGAATGCAATACTGTTATTTTTAGTATTGCACTGCAACAATCCAAGTTGATATACGTGTCCTTGCAAAAATGTTGATGACGTTATCACTAAATTGTGTAAAGAAAAAACTCAACTCGAAAATGCTGAATATGTTCCACTGTACTTCAGGAGCGAGCGAAGTTCTGTCGAACCAACTTTTGACCATTTTTTTTTATTTCCCGCACGTAGGTCAAAAGACAACACTAAATCCATCTGACGACTGGCTATTTTCATGTTTTCTCGACGTTTCATGGGCCCTAGAGTGCGAAATAATAGGTCTCCCGGGTCCATCTGTCTGCCTGTCCTTCGTCTGTCTGGATTTTTATTTGACAGATGATCTCCAAAACTGTTGGACCGATTGTTGTTAAACTTTACACGGTTATTAATTAGAACTATCACGTATGTATATGGTACAACGCCAACCAAAATTTGGCAAATCATCCCCACAAACAAAAGGATGATGTCATCTCCAAAATTTACATTAGTAAATATTATTTAGATTTTATATAATAAAATATTCCTGCACTTGTTGTTTATTAATCCGTGTTGAGTCTGTGCCCTACACATTCAGATTTCAATCAGAATTCTGTAACCACAGTTTCCAATTTAACTTTCGAACAGCAAAACCGAATGCTCTGAAATCTAGCGAACGTGTTAAGGTTTTCGTAAGCACGGTAAATAAAATCGATCAAAATTTGTTCCGTTTATAGGATAAGATTAAATATTTGTAAGATATGTTACAAATATTTTTTTATTTTTTTAATTTTACAATGTGGATAAAGGGATGCACTTTGTTGACAGTGTCAATAAAATAGAGTTGTAATAAACAGTGTTTATAAATAAAAATTAAGATTAATTTTCCAGTATCCCGACCTTAGTTTTTTCAAAATAGAACAACCGGAATTGTATTAATCAAGTTTCACTCTGTCTTTATTCACGTTTTTTCTTCCTCGGTGTTTTCTTAGCCTAAAGTTGATCGTTTCTGATCCAAATTTTTCAAAATAACGTGTCTAAAAAAATTATGTTATGCCAACGGATAGAAATATTGAAACTTTGTAAACGGCATTGTTTTTAGCTTGAACTGGGAAACTTAATTTATTTAATATGTATTTTACTTTTTGTTTCTATAAGCGTAAAAAAAATGCTGGTTAGATCCACTGGCCTCACTCCTTTTGTTTAGTTCAAAAAGCTCTCAGCTACCGTTCCATTTATTCCATTTACTCTGTCGGCATCATTTCTAGTTATTAATTTTGTTAGTTTATCAGAACATTGTTTTTCTGATGACCTCGGAAAATTTATCTCTCTTCACGTTTCATAGTCTTGCTTAAAACCAGTGAATAAAGATCTGCAGTGGTGGACTGAATATCATTGTTTTCCGGTATTTGTTTTTGCGAAAATGTACACATCAAATAAAACTGTATGTGTGAAACATGCTTAAGAACAAGATTGGCGGTATGCTGTAAACATTAACAACATTTATTATCACTTTTTAGATGTTAAAATTCCCTACTTACAAGAAGCTTTGGTTTCCGCCGTTACAAAACCTTGTTCAGATGAGTACCACTACTACTAGTAACACGTTTGAAAATGATTTTCATAAAAACCACATTCAAATTAATAACTTTCAAAGAGGACTTCTTACCGTAGGATCTGCATTTATGTCAATAGTAGATCCGTACAGAGCCGATATGATTGCTTGTCTAGGAGAAACGGCAGGTACGATAAGCCAAAAATTTAAAGAACTTAAAGTAAAAACGGAATTAAAGGAACGTCTGCTATTATGTACATGATGAGGAAAATGGAGAGTTCTGAAGAAGGAGCAGAAATATTACGTCAAAAACCAAGAATCAACTCGCAAACTGTCGACTTAGATAAGCTTAAAAAATACCCGGAAGGTACTTTAGGAAGAACTTATACACGTTTTTTGGAAGATAACGTAAGTAAGTTGTTAAACACTACTTAGTCTTTTGTACACAAACACTTTATAATATTATGCTTATTATTTCAGAATGTAACACCGGATTCTCGGCTCCCTGTCCAATTTATTGATGATGTAAATGCGGCTTACGTATTACAGAGGTACAGAGAAGCTCATGATTTATTTCACGCAATTTTAGGAATGCCGACAAATATGTTAGGTGAGCAAAATTGCTAAATCTGCTGATTATTTATGATTAGGTCATCATTGGCCGATCAAGGTTTACATTAATTTGTGGCTTTATTTGTATTGAGTAGCGTGAAGTAGGCATCCAAAGGTCGTTTGTTTTATATAAATAAAATTAAACAGAGGCAGATAAATAAAAACAGCAAGTAGTCACTAAAAAATGGGAATTTTGTCGTTGAATCGTTTTGTTAATACACACTTACCGGTAAAGGTAAATAAATACTGTATGTACGTTATCTACAATGACGTCAGGGTTGCAAGTTATAAAAAGATTATGTTTTTCTGTGGTTGATTTTACATTTTAATAGAAGGAACACACTTTTCTAGGTGAAGTAACCGTCAAATGGATCGAAGCCATTCAAACTAAGCTTCCAATGTGTATCGGTGCAGCGATTTTTGGCCCTGTTCGATTAAAACTGAAGTAAATTATTTATCACCTAAGCTAATATTGCGAGGATACTTATTTTGTGTTTTTGCAGACATCGAAATTTATATAAAAACTATTATCTACCTTGGGCTCTTGAAACAGCACACAACAGTAAATTTTTATTAAATACATTTTTCGAAAAACGATGGGAGCAACCTCTTAATGAATTACACAAGGAACTTAATATTAAGCCATTAGTTCTACCGAATACATAATTCGTAAACAGTGGATTTTTAATGGCTTGTTTTTTAGTTAACTTAAATTTTTTGTAATAATTGTAAATACAAAATAATTACTGTTTATTTTAAGTTTGACCTTCATTATTTGAATTATGTTCAGTAATTAAAGCGCACGCGCACGTTACTTAAGTTATTTCATTCTCCTCCCACAACCTTATTCCAGTCAAATTTTGACAGTTTGCCATGTTGTCATTGTAATTAACCTCATATTATGAACGCTTATTTAATCAAATTAATAACAGAACCGTATTATGTCTTTTTCTGGATTTAGTGAAGATGATATTCGTAAAATAGCAAAAGGTCATGACGTTAATAAACAAAAAGGTAAACATTTTACTCACAATTTGAAAACGTCTTTGCTTATTGTTAATTTGTTTATTTAGGATACCAGAAAACTTCCCTGAAGAAGGTTAGTTTCAAAGCGAGCCATAATGTGAGCACATCTTCAAGATCTAAATCTTTACATAACACTAATACTGCTAGAAATAATACCGCCCAAGAAATATCTGAGAACGCCAAACTAAGTATTCAAGATAAACCTAATGATGTAGCTGATGATATTAAGAAAACGCAACCAAATCAACCAGCCATAGAAGAAAAATCAGACAAACTGATAACTGAAACCGATGAAACGAAAACTGAGCCTGTAAAAGATGAAAAGAAATTCAGAGACCTAGATGAATTTGAAGCAAGGCAAAAATTAATCGAAGAACAAAATAGGAAACGCAAAGAACTATTAGCTAAAGCGTTGGCAGACAGGACCAAAAGAACACAAGAGGAAGCGCAAAAGCTGAACGAAATCCAACAAGAATTTCAAAAATTAGATGCTATGCTTTCTTGTGATGTTAAAATTTTGAGAAAGCAAATTGAACTTGCCAGTATAGAGTACATGGAATGTCAGTAAGTGCACTGAGCTTATTTTAAGTGTTGCAATTTAATGTTACGTTTTCAGAAAAAAGTATCACAAAGTAGAGAAAGAATTTCTGGAGGCAAAATGTTTGCTACACCAGAAACAAGAAAGGAAAGAAATGTTAACTGAACATTTGTGCGCGATCATAGAGAAGAATGAAGAACGAAAGGCTGAAAAATTGAATGAATTGATGCAACGGTTGCAGCTATCACCAGCAGAAGCTAATCAGAATGAAGAAAATGTAACAGTGCAAAGCAATACGAACAAAGAAAATGATGTAGGTAATCCATAATAAGTGCAATTTTAGGAATTTTATTGTGTTTTTTATTGTAACCGCCGAAGTTTTGTAACGCGTTTTAATAAAAAAATTCCTGTAGAAAGTATCTAAGGGTTGTCCCAAAAACTAATGGCTGATGTTTTTTATTATTGTAAAATTTATGTAGATGTTGTTGCTATATGTTGTTAGTAAAAGAGCAGACACTGAAAATGAACATTAAATTTGTAAAGTCAAAGTCACTCAGGATGTTTGAATTAAATATGCTCATAAAAGATCAATTACATTTTAAAAAAGGTGGCAAATAATGAATGTATACACTATAGCTTCACCAAGCTATAACAAAAGGTAACCTAAATTATTGACAAGTTAATGCATTATTGTTTTTAAAAATGTATTATGTGTAGTTAATACTTGGATACGTATATTTTTTTCGCTTATAACTTGGTGTTATTTTCTGGGACAACTCTTCTGTTCTATATTTTTACAATGTGTTTAAAATACGTGTGCATAATTATAATGAATAATGTATCGAGTTTATATTTTTTTATTAAAAAACTAATCATTGGTACAAAGGTATGACCTATTTACATAAAACATCCATGTGGAAAAATTTAACTATCTTTGTCAAATATTATAAATACAATAAATATAACTACTATATACAAGTTTTAAAACCAACTTAAAGTTTACACTATATGGCAGTAAAAAGCATGAGACAATAAATTATATATACATGACATTATTGAGAGTGTGCGCTTAAAATTTACAAGTTGAGTTTACATAACACTACTAATCTAACATTTTAAATGAACTAGTCTTTTCTTTGGTTCATACTGGCAAATTTAAAAAAGTAAGTACAATTCTTAACGTGAAATTCTTAAATTTCAGTCTTCCAATCAAAACAACTTCCAACGTGAACTAAATACAATTACTCGAATAACATGGCATTATAGTGGTTAACATGGTGATTCACGATAGAAGGATAAATTTTTAAATATTAAAACACCAACTTTCAACAGTTTTCTCTTTGTTTCACCTTCATCTCGCTTTGGGAAACCGCAATCCACTCGTTTCTGGAACTGTCAAACCATGTGAGGCCTAGGTTATACCTTCCATTGAGATTTGCATGTTGGCAGTGTGAAAACCACCAACCGCCTTCGTAGTTGCTAGCACAATGGGTATTTGAAATATCCCTGTCGTTATCGACAGTTGAAAACTCCATGTGGTTTTGGTAGTCTAGGGCGTCGCTGGCATTCCCGCTGTAGTTATTGACAACTAATTTGAAACCCATGCTGTAGTCTGCGACGCTGAATTCATCGTAAGTCGCCTGCCAATACTTTCCGTAGATGTCTTTCATGTTGATTTGTAGCTTAGTACAGTTTTTCTTTGTCAAATAATGCAAATTCCGGTTGCCTAACCAGTGTTCGCCCGTCGCTGATCCAAATCCGTTGGAATACTCGTTCCAGTTGCGATTAAAGTTGACAGATCCGTCGTATCTTTTTTGGATGGTGGTCCATCCGTCTTTGCAATACGCTAAAATGGGTTCACCATCCCCAGGAGAGATTAGATAAATACCGCTAGGACCTGACACAGCACCGCAATCATGAGGCAACTTGTTCACGATACTCTTGTATTCTTTTTCGAACGATTTCAGTTCTTGAACTAGATGAATTGTAGATTTTGTGGTGTTAGAATCCAGTGTGGCTGACTCAGTCTGAAACAAATGCAAATATTGTAGAAAAGACACAACGGAACATCATCAAGACAACTGAATAGCGTTTCACAAAATGGAATCTCGCTCATATGGGATCACTGAAGCTCGCATAATTAAATATTTGCAAAAGATGTTTGACAATCTCGGCTTGAACAAAGCGTTTTCGTTATGTCTCCGTCTGATAGCGAGTTCCATTGATTGTTCACAATAACTCATGTCTCGTATGAGCATATGGAGAAGTGCTACATGTATGACAATACACAAAGGATAGAGTTTAATTGAAATTTTAATGAAATGTCAACTAAAATGGAATGATAAAACATTCAAAGTGAAATCGTTGGTTAATAAAGGCAGAATAAAATGGGAAGCAATATCGTTTTAAAACCACTTTTAATGGCGCTTTCTGATACTAAGCTTTGTAGGAACAAGTTAGAGTGCAGAGCAGACATTTTTCAAAAGCAATTTATTTTTCAATTTCTGCTAAAACTGTTTCTGTCGTAAAAGAGCGTGTGAATGATGCCTTTTATAGAGACTACGGGAATCACAGTTGTTTTAATGAAATTATGTCTTATTTTCTAACTTCTGGGTAACTGGACAGAGTTCGATAAAAATAGTACCTATCCAAAACCAGCTGATTGCGGCAAGTTACTTTAGAATAACTGAGACATTTACGTCAATATCTATCCTTCACCTAGAAATAACTTTCATTTGTAATTTACGATACCCCGATTTAGTAGACGCGGCACATTTATATAATAACACGTCATTATTTTTTTCAAGCTATTGTACCTCAAACAATTTTAGTAATGTGTGTACAAGTATACATTTTTCTCAATAACAGACGGAAATTTCCATTAAAAATGTATGGAGTCTATATTTATTTAACTCCGGTGCTCGTTCCACGGACATCCGATATAAACAGAATACCGGAGTTCACCCGTTTCATGTATCTTCTGCAACGTGATATTATAATTATACATTTTAAAACTTGAGGAAATACGAGAAGCGACAAGTTTCTTTGCAGTTTCAAAGACACTTAAAACTTTGTAGGAAGTTGTAAATGGAAATACCAACCTTAAGAATATGGTCATGTAGCTTCGATGTCTGCACGTTGGCCGACTTGGTTAACCCACCAACTTGTTCCTCGACTTTCTTCAGCCGCCCCCTATCCGTGTCTGTTTTATCTTGCAAATTGGACACACTAACCCCGATGGCTTTCACCGATTTCCTGGTATTTGTTTGATCTTCTCTTAACAAAGATATTTGCGAAACGGCATCAGCAATTTGAATTTCCAATTTGGAGATTTCTTTACGGAACTCCGGGAAACTCACATCCACCTTATTCTCGATGCTCTCTACGTTCTCCAACAGTTCCAACATCGACATGTGTAATTTATCAAAATTGGACATTTGCTTAGTCAAATTGGCAATGGATTCGGTGTTAGATTGCTGCTGGCGCGCGAAATCATCCCTCCCCATTTCCTTAACTTTCTCCATTCTAATGTAGTCTTGGATTTCGTTGCCGTTGATTCGATCGTACACTTGATCAGAACCGGCGATTTCCTTGTTCTGGACGTATTTTTGAAGCAGTTCTAGTTCCTCTTCCACTTTCAAGAATCGGGTTTTGATTCGCTCGTTTTCGCGGTGCAACGCTTTTGATGCTTTTTCTAAATCGACGACGTGCTTCTTGAGCAGTCTTTGATGTCGTGAAGGGTGGGCCAGCGGTTGCTCGGAGGGCGACTCTATTGTCATTTTCTTTTCGCTCAGAATTTGCCAGTTGTGATTCCACTCTAGCTGGGCGGCCTTTAACTGCAACAAAAGACATACATCATGAGGACACATTCCAGAAACGCGACACTGACAATAGGTGCAGTTCGGGGTCAGGCGTGGGCAAAATACGTCTTTATTGCTTGTTAGTTATAGTAAATCCGAGCATTGAAGCTACTATAAACATTTAGCACTTGTGAGAGGGGTTGGAGCATCGTTTAAAAACTAAACGAGCGAAAAATATTGACTAGAAGTTTCTACAACTTGAGAAGGAACGACAAAAAATATCGCAGTCTTTGATTGACGAACTACTTCAGAGAAAGCCTCTCCTCTGTCAAGCTGCAATCGTTTTTAAGAGTTTTCCCACAACGTATTAGATTTTCTTATGTTATATTAATTAGTAATGGTTTCAAAATACTTATAAATTTCTTTAAACTTATACAAACATCATTTGCATCGCCCCTGAAGGTCTATTTTATGGCTTATAATTGTATTAATATGACAACTATGTTAGCTGTTCGTTGCTGCTTCAGCGAGCGCAGCGAGCGGCGTTAATTGAACACACATTCCATACTGCAATGCACCTACAATACAAAACGTAAGATATGTCAAAAACGGCTTATCTGACGAAGTTATGCACAATTCTATTAGACATTTACATAATGTTTACATTTCTCCAGTTCGCTCGTTTTAATGAAAAGCATACAATGATTTTTTGGATTTACAGTATAATAACCAGGTTATAAATTCTCTAAACGCAGCCACTGTCATTAAACAAAAAAATATATATCTGGTACTTTTGTCAAGGTGATGTATCATTTCCTGCGATTTTATTCAAAACCTGCGCATCATTTTTCTTTCCACCTTTGACAGGTAGGATATCCATAAAAATACATTTATTTTCAAGTCTTGTGCCAAAAGAAGACGCAAATAAAATAAATGTAGACGTTCGACCCTGTTCTTGTCAGGAAGCACCATATTCTTGTTACTAACATAAATTTGGACATATTTAATGCTTTTAATAATAATTAATTAAAATCCGTCTTAACTTTGAGTATAACCCAAATACGGATGCACAGCGTTAGTCTTGGCGCGGCGTTAATTGGCTCATGTGAATTTAGTAGGGGAAATGATGATAAAATGGACCGTGGAGTAAAACAAACCACGAGAGATTATTATTAAAGCAACGGCTTAATTAATATTTGAAAGCTAATAATAGGTGAATAATGGCGTAATTACAAGCTTCAACGCTAATTGCTGGACCTATATGACTCATTAATTGTTGGCGATTGCTGATTAATTGTATATAGCGCTTAATAGTAACATTGTTCATAAATATAATTTAGCTCTTTAAATAGGATTATCAGCCATAAAATTATCACTGGTTTCATTATTGGTGCATCAGTACGGTAAGCTGCGCCAACAAAGAGCACAAGGTTGGTATTCGTTCCGTTCCGATTATGCAACGAATGCCCAAAAAACAAGAATTATAATTTATGTGGATTAAAATGACCAGTTTATAAGACGGACAAAGTTAATTGCCTAAATGGTCGGTTTGTTATTGTTTCCTCCGCAACGCCCCCAAGCCACCAAATTTCGAAAGATCAATAAAGACCTTATTTGCGTACGTAAACGGACATTTTAGGTGGTTATGTTAATTCTAGCGTAGTAGGAATAAATATTTCATGGTGGAGAAAGGCGACGGTAGTCGTTTTCGTCGGATTATCCCGTGGCCAGCGGCAGGTGTTTTTCGGACGCGCTCCAGCGTGTGTCCGATATTCAACATGTTCCACCTGCCATTTCTGGCCAATGACGACCGCCAGTCGAAAATACCGACCCACCAAGCGGGTCATTTTATTGTTATTATATCTTATATCAAATGAACTTTACATTCCGCCGACGAAATTGCTTCGATTTTTTCCAAAGAACAAGTCTGAGGTGACGCAATTTATAGCCCGAATCGAGTGGAACTGTCGCCTTCTGTTTCGCCAAGTAAATAACGAATAATAAATGGCCTATTTGGGCTCAGTTCGAAATCGATGCCTAAAATTCAAGGAAATTTGCGTGTTTTTCGACTATCAGTAGACATCACCTGTTGTGGGGCTATTAAGGCGCGCTGCATGAATAATACGACGGTCAAAGAAAATGCTAATTTTCGCCGGCGTTATGTAACATCAGCGGCTCTTGAACGTCTCTAGAAATTTAAATTCCTCGTTGCCTTCAAAAGCGTAGACATTCCTGTTGATATTAACAGCGAAATTTTTGAAAATAACGTTACAGCGTTTCATTTTCATTGAAATGAATGAATCGTTTTTGTCGGTCGTGAAAACAATGTTCGACGGAATGCAATGTCACCTCATAATTGAGTTTTATTTTTGGAGCGGCATTTAAATCTCTCCTAAATGCTGTGTGGAATTACGAAGAAACCCAATATTGTACTGTATTTTTCTTTTGGAGTTTTTACTTTTTCCTCACCGCAGCAGCTCGTCATCCGTAGAATCAATACATGATTTCTCTAGGTAGTTAGTCTTGATTTAGTCAGAAAACTTATTTGAATGTAAAAGTTACATGAGGATTTTTAGTTTCTTCAGCAGATTTACTTCTCGTGCCTCTAACTCGTGATCACCTTATTATTCAAGACATTTACACTCCTAGTAATTAATGTTAAGTCATCAGTGGTGCACAGTTGGATATCTGTGGTTTTTAATTAATATAAAATTTGTGTGAAATATTTCCGGATATGGCTTGACAAGGATCAGCATATTAAATCTGCTAGACCATGGTCTATGTCTTTTTGAGTATTTTTCCATCCAAAATACCATGGGAGCAATAAAAAACGCGATCAAAACAACCACGGATTTTGATTTGTCTTTGAGAGGACTTGTCAGATTACGGTCACTTTGAAAGTTTGACCCGAAATGCAAAGATTAAAAGATAAATCTTTAAAAATCCATGGGTGTCTTTAACCGTGTTTTTCGTTGCTCTCACGATACAACGGAACGCGTGGTTTTGCATCTACTAGGTAATTTATAGATAATAATTTAATATTATGTAGTACAGAGATAATTTATTTCATACGTTTTTCAATCAACTGAGGTCATCACTTTTTTAGGAATGAAATATATTTTAATCTCCTTTACGTATGAACAGATTTTCAGCACTTTTCTAAAAAACCGAGTGATTATTAATGTTTGTGATTTTTTTGTAAGGTTGGCAACATATTTAAAATTTTATGATGGCATATCTGACGTCTGATAATTCAGAATTGTCACCCTAATAATTTGCTTCAATCATTAATAGATAGTCACCCCGTATTAATGAAATCAAATACACAATTTTTGCCATATTTAAATTATATAACATTTAGAAATAACATCACCAACTTTTTGTAGTGGAATAAATAGAGGGTAAGTCACCAAACACGGACTCGTCGATAGCTCATTATAATTTTATTATTAGAACTAGAAAAAAAAGTTAAAGACTAAAGTTTGATGATTTTATGTGTTCTGTTTTTAACGTGTAGTACGCAACTTAGGCTTTATCAGCAGAGTTTATTTTTGAAATTCCATGCGACCTTGTTACGATATTCCAATTTTCTTTAAATTTTTAAGTAATGGAAAGGTTCAGTAAAAAATCGCAGTAGGGTTATTTTTAAAATCTGTGTTACAATATTTTATGGAGAGATACAATAGAGGTATGCGCTTTGTTGTGACAAAAATAAAATTGGGTCTTAATATAGTGTTTACAAAAAAATTAATTATTACTATTTTCAAATATTGATTTCTCAGTTTTTTTTTTCTTTCTTAAAGTTGATTGTTATTGAGATTTTTTTTTTAATTACTTTTTCCAGATGTTTAATGTGTGTGCAACTGATGTTAGTTTTTCTTAGAAAGGGCAGAAATGTTGAAATTTTAGAACATTATGCAAATTAATCAAATAAATTTATAAATATAAATCCGTCCCATAAAACATATCAACAAAATTATTTGTTGTAATTTGTGTTCAAAATTTTGAGGTGATAATGGCATGTTGTTGAAGTGTTCGTTGTCGTCTTGGTAATTCAAATTTAAATTAAAAAGTTGGCACTACCGCATATTTTAAAAATTTACGGAATTAAAATATTTTAACCATTTATTTAATTAAAATTGTTAAATGTTTATAACAACAAAAAAACACCAAAAAACAAAAAAAAAACTAATTTTGTCTATCTCTCCAACACAAAATATTGCAACCCAGATTTTAAAAATGTCATTATTGCGATTTTTTGTGAACCTTTGTATTGATAAAAAAAATCAAGAAAACTGGAACAACGTGGCAACCTACAATGGAATTTCAAAAATCAACTATGGTTACAATGCCTACGAAAAAACTATTGAGAGTATTTAAAAATATATACGGTGTTCTATTTAAAAAGGCTAAGTTGTGTGCTATGCGTGAAAAACAAATCACGTCTGTACAGCCGAAAATAATCTTAATGTATGCTATACGTTACGCTGAAAAACGGTATAATTTTAGTCTGTGACTTTTTTCTATCTGTAACAATTAATGAAATATCGAGGGCCGCGGTTAGTGACTCACCTTGTATATAATATACCAAATAGTCAATGTATTTGCTTAATAACAAAAATAATGAGATATTGCTAAAATTCTTTGAAATAAGTAGCACACTTGAGCCAATTTGATATTCGTAAAAATCAATTTAAAATAAATGACTACACATCATACTAATTTAATCTGGAGAATCTAATTTTGAATTTAATTACATGATTATCTAATTACACGATTATGTTAACCACGGTTTTAAAATATAATCAAATACATAATTCTAGTTTCTTAGCTAATTATAACATTTGATTTTGCGATTTTTATTTTTTGATGATTATTGATAATCCTGCAGATTAATATAAAATTATGACGTCATCAACTTTTCAGCAAGAGGTTAATCACGCATTTAGTGAGGCGTTTAGCGACGTCCAATTGGCGTAAAGTCGGCCACGTGGTAGTTTAATGCCATATTAAAAGTTTAATAATTGCAATTAAAT